ATATATGGAAAGGGAAAGATATACAGGTAGATGTTTACTTATTCAATAAATACATTCAAGTTTTGAGCTTATGTGCCATGAACATATTCATATGTTCAGTGTTGGTGACGTGGTGAACACGATCAGCTCTACCTTCGCTTTCACAGAGCTCAGGCTACGGGGAGAGACCGACCCTGACGAGGCCACTGCAGTGTGGGACGGAGCGAGGCAGAGGGAGCTTGCAGAACACACAGCAGGGACAGCGAGCCCGTGCTTGGGAACTGAGAGCTCAGGGTGGGAAGCAGGCAGAGAGAGAAGGGCAGGGGAGCTCTCGCCTTGCATGCATGAAGCCTGGGTTCGACCCCACCAGTGAGAAAGAGAAGGAAGGAGGGAAGGGAGGGAGGGAGGGAGAGAGCTAAAGACATATTATAGAGTGATACATACACAGCCATGTCTATAGCAGCACAATTTGTAATAGCTAAATCTTGGAAGTGGCCTACATATCTGTCAACAGATGACTGGATAAAGAAATGTATTTATACATGATGGAGTATTACTCTGCCATAAAGAAGGGTAGGTTTGAGTCATCTGTAGGAAAATGAATACACCTTGAGATTATAATGTTGAGTGAAATAAATCAGACACACAAGCTTCAAGACTGAACGGTTTCTCCTCTACAAGCTCAAAATATAAATAAAGTGCAAAATTAAAGACAGATAATAGGAATAATAGGAAGGGGACAGATTTTTTGCAGAAGAGAAGGGGACCAGAGAAGGAGGGGGCGGGCGGGAGGGAGGGTAAAGGGAAGAAGAATCTGCTGTGTCACACACGGCCCGGCTCCCCATGATGAAGGAGATCATTATGTGCTACAAGCACGTACTAATAAAAATAAAAAGAATAACCAAAAATAAAATGAAAGACAGACAGGAGGAACCAGAGAGCTAGATCGCCTGTAGATGGGAAAGAGATTAGAGAAGGAGGGGGGAAGAAGGAGAACCAAGCCGTGCTGTGCCCACGCACCCACTCCCTCAGGGGAACGGAAACAGTCCGTGCTGCACACGGGTTCTAATAGAAAATACGTTAGAAGGAAAACTAGTAGGATAAGGGCCACAGGCATTTGCGCAAGAGAAAAAGGCCAGCCAAGCCCGCAGGGCCGCGAGGAATAGAGAGGCAAGCAGCCCTCGAGCGGTGAGCTGGAGCCCCACAAGGGCCTTGAAATGCTAACACAGAACCCTGGTAAAGGGGCTGGGGATTTAGCTCAGCGGCAAAGCGCCTGCCTGGCAAGCGCAAGGTCGTGAGTTCGGTTCCCGGTACCGGAGAAAAACCAAAAACCAAAAAAAAAAAAAAAGAAAAAAAAAAGAACCAAGGTAAAGTCCGAGGCTTCACTCCCTCTTCCGCAAAGAGGAAGGCCCAGAGCGCCTGCTCCCTCCTGCGCCGCCGTCCAGGGGTGGGGAAGAAGAGGGACAGGAGGCGACAGAGGCAAAGCAGGGGATCGCTCCAAACTATTCCCTGAATCTTCACCCCAAATCCAGTGCAGCTGCGTATGTGAGCGATGGAAACCTCCCCCGGCAGGCAGCCTTGAGACTGGCACGCCTGTGATCCCAGCACTCGGGAGGCTGAGGCAGGAGGATCACTGGGAGTTCAGAGCAGCCTGGGCTACAGAGTGAGTTCAAGGCCAGCCTGAACTGCATAGTGAAACCTTGCCTCAAAAAGAAAGAAAAGACACTGGTGGGGTGAATCTTACCCCCCACTTTCAGGGGGGAAATGAAATTAAAACCTCTCTGGCACACAGAAGGAAGTGACAGGCCTAGGGCCCCCCGGCCGGCCCGGTCCAGCGAGCGCTCGGTCCCCTGCTTTGCACCTGTTTCCCCGGCTCGCGGCGCCCCTCTCTAAGGCGAACTCCCCAGCCCGGCCCGCCGGCAGGAAGCGGACGGGGGCAGAGGCGCGGCCCGGCCCGGAGAGAGCGCCTGCAGGGAGGGTGCCCAGCCCCTGTCTTATTTTAAGTAGAGCCCCATGTTAAATCTGTTCCAGGAGGACGAGGCGGGCGAGGGCCGCTTCAACTTCTCGGCCTACGGCATGGGCCCCGCCTGTCTGCAGGCCAAGGACGGCCTCTCGGTCAAGGGCGCCAACAACAGCACGGCCAACCCCGCGCCCGCGCCCTCCAAGTCCCCCGAGGAGATGCGCAAACTCTTCATCCAGAGGGCCAAGAAGATCGACAAGATCTCCCGCATCGGCTTCCCCATGGCCTTCCTCATCTTCAACATGTTCTACTGGATCATCTACAAGATCGTCCGCAGAGAAGACGTGCACAACCAGTGAGGGGCGGGCGGGGCGCAGGGAGGCGGCGGGCGAGGCCGGCCCCCTGGGCCCCGCGGCGCGGGCGGCGATGCATGAGTGCGGAATGCGGCGCTATCTATCTAACCCGGGGCGGGGCGGGAGGGCGTGTCTAGCGGGAGGCAGGGGTGGGCGGAGGCGGGGCGGGCATGGGCATTGCCGCTTTCGCGCTGGGAGTCCCCCGCGAGGCTGCCGTCCGCCCCAGCGCAGAAGGAGAGCAATGTAATATATGATATCTATTCGTGCTTAATAGTAACGCAAAACCACCGGAAAGATTTCTTTCTCAACCTATCAGCCTAGTAACTGCTTCAATGTTTCCAGTCACCGAAGCGATGGACACTTTCTCCCGGAGTGGAAACAGTTACAAATAAGCTCGCTCTGGTGTGCGCGTCCCTATCACCCCCCTCCCCGCGCCGGTCGCGTCTCTAGCCCCGAGTAGGTGGACACATGCCAAAAAGCCATTCCGCCTCTGCTTCCAGAGCGGCCCTTGGCATGGACTTGAGCAGCGGGGAGGGGAAAGGTGGACGCGAGACGTCGTGGCGACGCGATGGGGCGGTGCAGGGGCTGCGGGGTTGAGAACGAAGGCGCCCCGCGCCCCGAGGCCAGGGGCGGCACCCGCCGCTCTGCGAGGTCCTGGCTTCTGCGTCCTGACACCCGCCCCGCCGGCCCTTCACCACCGCCCGGCAGCGCCGCCGGGGCCCTCTCATCTTGCCGATATGCAATCTTTTTTATGGTTAAAAAATAATAATCTCAAGAAATAATATGCAGATAGACTGAGTGTAAACAGATGTACTTTTCTCAAATGTCTATTTTTTTGGACTAGCTAGTGGGTGCGTGTTGGGGAAGGGAGGACCGGGCGAGGAGACCGGCTGCTTTTGGAGTGGTCCCGCGGTGTGGGCTTTTGAGCGGGGAAAGGAAAGTACTGAGGCTGCTGCGGACCCGGGATGGATGGGTGGGAAGAGAGGGTGCTGTCTGGAAAGTGTTCGTTGTATTCTGACCTTTCGTGTACCACAGAGAATGTGAGAAGTGTGAGGGGATGACCCCGTGCTATTTTTATAAGTCTTTTGTTGTTGTTGTTTCTTTTAGGTGCTTTGTTTAGCTTTACCATTTGGGAAAGTTAGGTAAATATTGCTCTTCCCTTTGAAATCTGAAGTGCCAGAAGCATACCAGGGTAGCAAGGGCGCCGCAGAGGGAAGGGCGAGGGCCGGGGAGGTGAGCCGGGGAGGCGAGTCGGGTCGGAGTGCAGGGCCCTGCCCAAGCGCCGGCCGGCAGCGCCAGGAGGCCT